ATCACCACTACTTTACTAACATCATGTCTATGATTTTTGTTCATTATTATTATCATCATCATCATCATCATCATCATCATCATCATCATTATTATTATTATTATTATTATTATTATTATTATTATTATCATCATTGTTACTACGGCCTCTGTTTGCAGTAACGCTTTTCGCTGCCCCACGAAGAAAACCAGAATTCGACTTCCGAGTGGAAAGAACCTTTGTATCGAGTATATCGGTCTGTCTGACGGGTTAGCCCTGTTGATTTTCTCCTTTTTTTAGGGATGGCGGAGGGGGGGGGGTGGTCATGGAAACACATACATTGGAAAATATATCATTAATTGAGGACAGCATCAGTCGTTGAAGCAAACACTCACCTATGAACTCTCGATCCAGCTGACCAGTGGAAAGAGTGGTCACTACGGCGAGAATCCATATCGTGAGAGCCTTCATCCTGGGTAATAATAGACAAGAAAGGTAGAATTAACACACTTTTCAACGTAAACGACATATCGTGTACAGTTGTATGTTTATAAATCTCAATCAAACAGAACTTTCTGATGTTCACCACTGTAGAGATTTAACGAGACTGGAGCATTGACAGTTCAATAACATCAATGTGATAATATAATAATAATAACTCGTGACATGACCGTGATTTGTAGCATAGTGGTAACATAGTATTGGATAGTAGAATGTGGAACACTACAAACAAGAAATAAGATACATATATATGTATAAATTTATTATACGAGGGGCATACCAAAAGGTTTTATTCTCTGACCATGAAGGAATAAATGTAGAAAGCTGAAATTTTGTACTAACCGTAATCTTTCTCTACGTAGTCGCCTCTAAAAGCTATACATTTTCGCCGTCGGTGTATGACCTTGAAGAGACCTTGAGAATAGAAGAACCTCTCTTTGTCAGAAAACCAGGCCTCTACCGTTTCTTTGACGTCACCATCTCTTTCAAAATGTCTTCCATATAAATCCTTTTTCAGTTTGGGGAATACAAAAAAGTCGGACGGGGCTAAATCTGGAGAATAGGGTGGATGTGGCAGAATTTCACAGTCATCTTTTCGCGCAGTTTCTGCAGCTTTTCTTGAAGTGTGTGCTGGCGAGTTGTCATGAAGCAGCAGAATACCTTTTCGGATCTTTCTTCTGCCGTTTTCTTTTATAGCCTTTCGTATTTTTTTTAAAACTGGTAAGAATAATGTTCTCCTGTTATCGTATGTCCTTTTTCAAGATAGTTTACCATAATCACTCCTTGGTCCCCCCAAAAACCTGACAGCTTCACTTTTCCACTTGATGGCTGCAGACCTTTGCCTTCTTTGGTTTTGGAGACGAAGGTGATTTCCACTGTATTGATGCAGATTTTGACTCGGGATTTTGACTCGGGACCAAATCAGCTCCATATACGACATGCAGCTTCGTGAGAATATCCTGCAGTTGCCTTTCTTGCAAGAACAAAAACTTCATTACTGCCCTGTGCTCAATTTTCTCAATTTTTATATTAAAACTGGAGACCAACATAGCCCCATTCACGTACAGCTCAATTTTCTCAATTTTTATATTAAAACTGGAGACCAACATAGCCCCATTCACGTACAGCGCGCTGGTGTTGAAACCAAATTTCAGCTGTCTACCTTTATTCCTTCCTGGTCAGGTTAAACACTTTTGGTGTGCCCGTCATGTATATATATATATATATATATATATATATATATATATATATATATATATATATATATATATATATATATATATATGTGTGTGTGTGTGTGTGTGTGTGTGTGTGTGTGTGTGCGTGTGTATGTATGTTATGTTTGTATATATCATATTCGTCTTATGACCCAATAATATCAAGCTAAATACTTTCTTTAAAGAATGATGTGTTGTGAGCTACTCAGATAAGGACATTAATTAGAATACAGAGAGCGTGGTCTTCCATAGATGTTTGACGTGGTCTCCGATTCCTGCGACTGGTCTTATTGGCTAAAAGAGTGTGTTTATTATTGTATGTATAGTCGATATACATGAAAATACGATGGTGTGCTCACAATCGTTGACTGAAATAAACGCAAGTCCTTTACACTTCTATCATAAAACTTTTAGGCATAAAGCAAAATCGGACTAGTGCTTTTTGCATGCAACTCAAATAGCTCAAGCTAATACCACACGCAAAAGGCTCTCTTCTGTTACAAGTAAAGTCCGCCATAGTTAGATTCAGAAATTATTTTCTTCGTGTGGTGATAAGTAATTGAAAAGTTGAAGATTTGTAAATTTCAGTGCATGTGAAGAGACCGATTTCCATTATTAGAGTTAACCCTTTCAGGACGAAGAGGCAACAAACTGTCCGACCAGTGAAAGAACGAAAGCAATGTTCCGCAGTCTTAGAACAATCATATACACATCAGAGACACGAATTTGCATAATATCTGATAGTATGTATGTTGCTGTCTGTCTTTTCAAGATTCTGTTAAGGGAATCAAAACTAAAATGTTCAAGTGAATAACCAAGAAGTTGCTTCTTATCTAAAGTGCTCCAAAACAGCGCGTCTTCACGTGGTGTTGAAAGACCTGAATACAAGTCCTCAATGACTAAAAGGTGGTCAGTGTCTCAGATACTGAAGTTATTCTTTTCATTTTATGAAATATCATTTATAATAGTCTTGATTGGCCGGTATAAACTACTACTGATTTTTTTCCCCTAAACAGCTTACTCTTCGGTACAAACGCAAAGCCCAGCAGTTCATGAAGGATACAGGCAAATGTTAGAGAAATGTATATTATCTCAATTTTTCCAAGTTTATCTGTTGGAACTGTACAGAAACATTTTCTCTACACATAATAAGTGCATCTAAGACCACGCAAGGAGCTGCGCTTGGCGTTTGCCTTTGCCTTACTCGTTGATCTCCTCATTCGGTCAAAAACATAAACCCTTAAAAGAGGAAAGTCTCTCTCTACAAACGGCGTCAAACAAGGCTCTGTCCTGGCTCTAGTCCTCTTCAATATCTTCTTCACCACCATGTTTTCCAACGCTTGAAAGGACCTTGACAAGGGAATACACCTAAATTATCGACCGGATGGCTCTGTTTTTGTTATACGTCGCCTGCAATCCAAGACAAAAACCAGCTCAAAACTCCTTCGGTAGGAGCTCTTCGCCGATGACTGCCCTTTGAATGCTCATTCCGAAGCGAACCTTAAAACAATGCTCAACCACTTCACAGAAGCCTCAAAGCTTTTTAGACTTACAATCAGCATCGGGAAAACTGAAGTTCTTCACCAGACTGCCCAACAAACTAACCCACTGTCTCCAAACATCACTATCATTATCAAAGTCAACAGCCTGAAGAACACGGAAGTATCATCTCTGCAGACGGCTCCATCGATCAGGAAATCGATTCAAGAATCAGCAAAGCCAGCCAAGACAGAAAAACAAGTTACTAAAACAGCACAAAGTCCGACTGTCAACAAAATTCAAAGTGTACAAATCCGTTGTGCTCTCCTCCCTACTCTACGGTTCAGAGACCTGGACACTCTACAGAAAGCACATTAACAAATTAGAGCAGTTCCACCAAGGGCTCTCCGCAGCATACTCGGCATCCAGTGGCAAGACCGCCCCACTAACACTGATATCCTCAACCGATCAAGCTCAATAAGCATAGTAAGCATGCTTGTCAAAACCCTACTGAGATGGGTCGGCCGCGTTATCCGCAAGGAAGACCACCGAATGCCCAAACATCTGCTGTACGGCGAACTCGAAAGTGGCAAAAGAAATCTTGGGAGGCCATAAAAGCAGTTCAAAGACACGATAAAGGAAAACCTCCAGTTTGCACAGGTTACCCCCAAAGAACTCGAAAGAACAGCCACCGAAAGGAACGCCTGGCGCAGGACCGTCCGTCTTGCCAGCAGAAACAGTGATACCAAGTACAGGGAGAAGCTGACTATCAGAAGAGAAAGGAAACATATTCCGACCACCCCAACCACGGCATTCCAATGTCCTCACTGCACCAGACATTGTTCATCCAGGATCGGATTGAACAGCCACATGCGCGTCCAAAGATGAGCAGCAGGATTTCATCGTCATATTCGGCAACGAATGAGTACCTACAAAAAATTATAACTAAATATTTTCCACTAAACAGCTCACTCTTCGGTACAAACGCAAAGGTCAACAGCTCAGGAAGGACACGGGCAAATATTTGAGAAATGTATCACATTTTTCCAAGTTAAACTGTTGGGACTGTTCAGGTACACTTTCACTACACATAAGTGCAACTGAGACCGCGCATGGAGCTGCACTTAGCCTTTGCTTTTGCCTTCCTCGTTGATCTCCTTTTCCAGTCAATAACATAAACCCCTTAAAGAAGAAAATTTCTCCTTTATGTTGACGACTATACCAATATATCTAGGTGAAGAGTAGAGTCTGGTATTCCAAAATAAAGTTTAAAAAACCCCCAACCACATTCTCCTAAACTACAAAATAAGATGTGATCAGATTTATCTGGTCGGTTGAATTTTTTTAAAGGTGAAATGTGGGCTCCTACGTATACACAGAAAATAGTGGTATAATTTGATCAGACCCATTTTAGTGATGCTCAGGACAACATTGTTTTCATTGGCAGATCAAGTAAGAGTACGTAGGAGATAAGTTGAATAAGTCGTTCAGAGTCAACGCTTCAAAAAGTGGCCAATTATCTTTGAGGACCACTATATTTTATTGATATTTCACTGAAGAAATTATATGTTTTCTTTCACTAGCATCCACGGCACAAAAACCATCAATTCATAGCACTGCTATCTATTG